AACTGAACTGGAACTGAACTAGAACTGAACGAGAACTGAACTAGAACTAGAACTGAACTAGAACTGAACTAGAACTGAACTAGAACTGAATTAGAACTAAACTAGAACTGAACTAGAACTGAACTAGAACTGAACTAGAACTGAACTAGAACTGAACTAGAACTGAACTAGAACTGAACTAGAACTGAACTAGAACTGAACTAGAACTGAACTAGAACTGAACTAGAACTGAACTAGAACTGAACTAGAACTGAACTAGAACTGAACTAGAACTGAACTAGAACTGAACTAGAACTGAACTAGAACTGAACTAGAACTGAACTAGAACTGAACTAGAACTGAACTAGAACTGAACTAGAACTGACTAGAACTGAACTAGAACTGAACTAGAACTGAACTAGAACTGAACTAGAACTGAACTAGAACTGAACTAAAACTGAACTAGAACTGAACTAGAACTGAACCAGAACTGAACTAGAACTGAAATAGAACTGCACTAGAACTGAACTAGAACTGAACTAGAACTGAACTAGAACTGAACTAGAACTGAACTAGAACTGAACTAGAACTGAACTAGAACTGAACTAAAACTGAACTAGAACTGAACTAGAACTGAACTAGAACTGAACTGGAACTGAACTAGAACTGAACTAGAACTGAACTAGAACTGAACTAGAACTGAACTAGAACTGAACTAGAACTGAACTAGAACTGAACTAGAACTGAACTAGAACTGAACTAGAACTGAACTAGAACTGAACTAGAACTGAACTAGAACTGAACTAGAACTGAACTAGAACTGAACTAGAACTGAACTAGAACTGAACTAGAACTGAACTAGAACTGAACTAGAACTGAACTAGAACTGAACTAGAACTGAACTAGAACTGAACTAGAACTGAACTAGAACTGAACTAGAACTGAACTAGAACTGAACTAGAACTGAACTAGAACTGAACTAGAACTGAACTAGAACTGAACTAGAACTGAACTAGAACTGAACTAGAACTGAACTAGAACTGAACTAGAACTGAACTAGAACTGAACTAGAACTGAACTAGAACTGAACTAGAACTGAACTAGAACTGAACTAGAACTGAACTAGAACTGAACTAGAACTGAACTAGAACTGAACTAGAACTGAACTAGAACTGAACTAGAACTGAACTAGAACTGAACTAGAACTGAACTAGAACTGAACTAGAACTGAACTAGAACTGAACTAGAACTGAACTAGAACTAGAACTGAACTAGAACTGAACTAGAACTGAACTAGAACTGAACTAGAACTGAACTAGTACTGAACTAGAACTGAACTAGTACTGAACTAGAACTGAACTAGAACTGAAATAAAACAGAACTAATATCCCATTATTTTGCCCACTGCTTGGTACATCAATTTGACTCTACTAACAAAACATCAGCATTGTACTACAAGTTGAATAGACAAACGACTCTACAGCAATTCAGTAACAATAAACCCTGTCATCAATACAATACTTTACACTCGTTCCCTCGATTTTGTAATTTACAACAACGAAAAAGTTTTTTTTATTTATTGTAAAACAAACAAGAACAATATTTATTGTCATTTTATAACACTGTCTCACTTGCTCTCTAGAGATTGTTTTACACTTTTTTTGAATTTGCATTATTTTAGAATTCAAAAAAGGAAATTGATTACAACAAAAAACCAGTATATGATGCATAATAGCAATAACAACAATAGGAAAATAGTAAATAAAACTACAAAGAAGGAAAAAAGGTAAAAATAATAAAGAGATGTAGTTTTTGTTTCAATTTTTATTTTTCGAAAATAAAAAAGGGTAAAATAACGGTGACAACATGAGTGTACGTTTACAGCATCAGTGTTGCCATATTTTTCTAAATATTTTTTCAGTTCTTTTTCTTTATTTGAGAACTTGCTTTGTATGTGAAATTGATGGAAGTGTGTTTTGAAGCCACCGAATTGTTTGGTTTATTTGTGTTTGTATGCTTTGTAACCCACATTTTTTTATCGAAAGTAGTTCAAGATCTTTGCAAGAAAATTACACAGTGTTTGAAATTGAAAATTGTTTCTTATTTAGTTTTCGTTATAAAGACTCCAGAGATTTAAAGACATATTTTTAAGGTTTGCTTCTCTATATAAAAGTAAATCAAACAGAAAATCTGTTATTAAATTATAAAATAAATAAAATATTTTGAAGAGTGAAGAGAAATCGAAATATTTTTGACTTTGTTGCTTTTAATCTTATCCAACAAAAGGGCAATATATGTAGATATGCCAATTATTCTATTTCTATCTCTTTTTAAGAATCCAAAATAAACAAAATGCTACCAATTTAAGGATAAAACATATACAAAAATGATATATTTTAATACAAAATCATTTACGGGCTTCCGGGAGATAATACTATATTGAGTTCCAAAAATCCACACGGATCGACTAACCAGATAGTACTGATATCTTTTTTTATTTTTAAAATTTTCTCCGAAAAGAAAAAGAAATTGCAAAGAGATTGAAGAAGAGTCAAAGACATACTAAGCGTATGAGTGTTATAAATAAATTAATATAAATCATACGTATAGACAGTAAATAGAAATTGCTGAGTGAGATTTTAAATAAAAAAAAATCGGAAAAAAATAAATTTTGTTCTTGTTCTAGTTCAGTTCTAGTTCTGTTCTAGTTCTGTTCTAGTTCTGTTCTAGTTCTGTTCTAGTTCTGTTCTAGTTCTGTTCTAGTTCTGTTCTAGTTCTGTTCTAGTTCTGTTCTAGTTCTGTTCTAGTTCTGTTCTAGTTCTGTTCTAGTTCTGTTATAGTTCTGTTCTAGTTCTGTTCTAGTTCTGTTGTAGATCTGTTCTAGTTCTGTTCTGGTTCTGTTCTAGTTCAGTTCTAGTTCAGATCTAGTTCTGTTCTAGTTCTGTTTTAGTTTCTGCCCTAGTTCTGTTCTAGTTCCGTTCTAGTTCTGTTCTAGTTCTAGTTCTGTTCTAGTTCTGTTCTAGTTCTGTTCTAGTTCTGTTCTACTTCGTATCTAGTTCTGTTCTAGTTTCTGTTCTAGTTCTGTTCTAGTTCTGTTCTAGTTCTGTTCTAGTTCTGTTCTAGTTCTGTTCTAGTTCTGTTAGTAGTTCTAGTTCGTTCTAGTTTCTAGTTCTGTTCTAGTTCTGTTCTAGTTCTGTTCTAGTTCTGTTCTAGTTCTGTTCTAGTTCTGTTCTAGTTTGTTCTAGTTCTGTTTTTTTCTAGTTCTGTTCTAGTTCTGTTCTAGTTCTGTTCTAGTTCTGTTCTAGTTCTGTTCTAGTTCTGTTCTAGTTCTGTTCTAGTTCTGTTCTATTTCTGTTCTGTTCTAGTTCTGTTCTGTTCTAGTTCTGTTCTAGTTCTGTTCTATTTCTGTTCTGTTCTAGTTCTGTTCTGTTCTAGTTCTGTTCTAGTTCTGTTCTATTTCTGTTCTGTTCTAGTTCTGTTGTTCTAGTTCTGTTCTAGTTCTGTTCTAGTTCTGTTCTAGTTCTGTTCTAGTCTGTTCTAGTTCTGTTCTAGTTCCGTTCTAGTTCTGTTCTAGTTCTGTTCTAGTTCTGTTCTAGTTCTGTTCTAGTTCTGTTCTAGTTCTGTTCTAGTTCTGTTCTAGTTCTGTTCTAGTTCTGTTCTAGTTCTGTTCTAGTTCTGTTCTAGTTCTGTTCTAGTTCTGTTCTAGTTCTGTTCTAGTTCTGTTCTAGTTCTGTTCTAATTCTGTTCTAGTTCTGTTCTAGTTCTGTTCTAGTTCTGTTCTAGTTCTGTTCTAGTTCTGTTCTAGTTCTGTTCTAGTTCTGTTCTAGTTCTGTTCTAGTTCTGTTCTAGTTCTGTTCTAGTTCTGTTCTAGTTCTGTTCTAGTTCTGTTCTAGTTCTGTTCTAGTTCTAGTTCTAGTTCTGTTCTAGTTCTGTTCTAGTTCTGTTCTAGTTCTGTTCTAGTTCTGTTCTAGTTCTGTTCTAGTTCTGTTCTAGTTCTGTTCTAGTTCTGTTCTAGTTCTGTCTAGTTCTGTTCTAGTTCTGTTCTAGTTCTATTCTAGTTCTGTTCTAGTTCTGTTCTAGTTCTGTTCTAGTTCTGTTCTAGTTGTGTTCTAGTTCAGTTCTAGTTCTATTTCTTTTCTAGTTCTGTTCTAGTTCTGTTCTAGTTGTGTTCTAGTTCAGCTCTAGTTCTGTTCTAGTTTTGTTCGAGTTCTATTCTAGTTCTTTTCTACTTCTCTTCTAGTTCTGTTCTATTTTTTTCTAGTCCTGTTTTTTACGTTCTTGTTCTGTTCTAGTTCTATGATGCATAAAATTTTGATAATTTGAGAAATAAAATGCATTTTATATAAAAATATTTTAAAGTTGTTGTTCTAATGAACTACTCTCGAGAAATTTTAAACATAAATTGCACATGTTGCAAGTGCACACATTTCTGTTGTTGTATATAAAAACAGCAACAACAACAATAATAATAATTTAAAAGAAAATTTAGGTCATCAGAACAGCAACAACGAAATTGTAAAGAAAATCAAGGTCATCAGCAGTTTTTGAAGGTATATAATGGCAAAAAATTTATATAGATGTATATAAGAACATAAATACAAACATATGTATATACAAATTGTATGTGTTTTTGTGTAAAGTACATAAAGTACATAAGTTAAATTGTTGTATATAAAACACAGCTGTGCTTGCTGTTGATGATTTATTGAAATTGGAAAATTTATTTTTATACAAAATTTTCACTTTGCAAATATTTGTAAAGCTATTTTTAGCTTAGAATAAGTAAATATTTAAGGAAATTTTGTTAGGAAAAGATAAAAATCAGATATTTTTTTATTTAGAATAAAAAAAGAAAATTAACAGGAAATGGTGGTAGAGATTTAAGAACAGGAATTTTATTTTTCAAGTCTAAAAGAAGGAGATTGAGGAAAGGTAAAGAAATTTGACAGGTTATTTTTAGCTGGAGATTAAAAATCAGGGATATTCAAAGTTGTAAATAAAGTGGTGAGGATAACACTTACCGCATATCTCCATGACATTTTGTTTAAAGTTTTTGCTGTTCTGTTGCTGTTTGAAATTTATAAAATTTTGGCAATTTGTTTTTTAAACAAATAAAAAACGCCTTAGTTTTGGTTGTCCTTGGTTTGTTAGGTTGTTAAAATAATAACCCGTCAATTTCCTGGTGTGAAAAACGCGCAATTTCTTTTTCGATTCGTTGTTTAATTACGTTCTTTATTAAATATCAATAAATAATAGTTTTTTGCTTTTTATTGTTTAATGCACTTTTTCAAATACGTTGTTGTGTTTTGCTTTAATTTATAGTTTTCTTTATTTTTTTGCATATATAAAAACGTAAAAAAAATACAAAAAAATTTTAGCACTTTTTACTCTTAAATAAAATTTAAAATCTGTTTAATAAAAATTTTTTATTGTGGAAAAAATTTAAAAACTTTAATTTTTGATTGTGTTTTTTAATATTTTTCAAATTTTAAAAAATATAAATAAGAAAATGTTTTTAAAATGAAATAAATTTGATTTGATTAGATTTTTCTACTTAAATTTCGCGTGACGTTCTTTTTGCGACTGAAAACTGATTTACTTGGCGGCTGTATAGATAGAACGTACGTAGGGTTTTGGTGCTTAACTCTTGGCGTTTAGCTTCGACGACGACGACGTTTGTTGCTGCTGGTTTATAGTGCGCCCACCATCAGAGCTTTTCGATTTTTTATTTTTTTGCTTTCATTTATTTTTACTTTTTGAGTTTTGTTTGCAAACGCTCTCTATTTATCGATTTTGCATGTTTTGTTTCATTTATACATTTTCTATGAAAGTTTAATATACTTTTTCCTCATACATATAGAAAATTTGTTGTGTGGCCACAGTGTGGTACAGTGGTTTGCATGAGACTAAATGCGTAATAGAATATATTTTTCAAAACAATATTTTACTTATTGCAATATTGCGGTATGTAATTCTAGATCAGCTTAAGTTAAAGTTCAGTTCTAATTCGGTTCTAGTTCAGTTCTAGTTCAGTTCTAGTTCAGTTCTAGTTCAGTTCTAGTTCAGTTCTAGTTCAGTTCTAGTTCAGTTCTAGTTCAGTTCTAGTTCAGTTCTAGTTCAGTTCTAGTTCAGTTCTAGTTCAGTTCTAGTTCAGTTCTAGTTCAGTTCTAGTTCAGTTCTAGTTCAGTTCTAGTTCAGTTTTAGTTCAGTCCTAGTTCAGTTCTAGTTATAGTTCAGTTCTAGTTATAGTTCAGTTCTAGTTATAGTTCAGTTTAAGTTATAGTTCAGTTCTAGTTAAGTTCTAGTTCAGTTCTAGTTCAGTTCTAGTTCAGTTCTAGTTCAGTTCTAGTTCTAGTTCAGTTCTAGTTCAGTTCAAGTTCAGTTCTAGTTCAGTTCTAGTTCAAGTTCAGTTCTAGTTCAGTTCTAGTTCAGTTCTAGTTCAGTTCTAGTTCAGTTCTAGTTCAGTTCTAGTCAGTTCTAGTTCAGTTCTAGTTCAGTTCTAGTTCAGTTCTAGTTCAGTTCTAGTTCAGTTCTAGTTCAGTTCAAGTTTCTAGTTCTCAGTTTCAGTTCTAGTTCAGTTCTCTGTTCAGTTCTAGTTCAGTTCTAGTTCATTTTCTAGTTCAGTTATAGTTCAGTTCTTAGTTCAGTTTCTAGTTTCAGTTCTGAGTTCAGTTCTATTTTCCAGTTCTAGTTCAGTTCTAGTTCAGTTTCTAGTTCAGTTCTAGTTTCATTTCTAGTTCAGTTTTCAGTTCAGTTCTAGTTCAGTTTCTAGTTCAGTTCTAGTTCAGGTTCTAGTTTCAGTTCTAGTTCAGTTCTAGTTCAGTTCTAGTTCAGTTCTAGTTTCAGTTTCTAGTTCAGTTCTAGTTCAGTTCTAGTTCAGTTCTAGTTCAGTTCTAGTTCAGTTCTAGTTCAGTTCTAGTTCAGTTCTAGTTCAGTTCTAGTTCAGTTCTAGTTTCAGTTCTAGTTCAGTTCTAGTTCAGTCTAGTTCAGTTCTAGTTCAGTTCTAGTTCAGTTCTAGTTCAGTTCTAGTTCAGTTTAGTTCAGTTCTAGTTCAGTTCTAGTTCAGTTCTAGTTCAGTTCTAGTTCAGTTCTAGTTCAGTTCTAGTTCAGTTCTAGTTCAGTTCTAGTTCAGTTCTGTTCTAGTTCAGTTCAGTTCTAGTTCAGTTCTAGTTCAGTTCTAGTTCAGTTCAGTTCAGTTCAGTTCTAGTTCAGTTCTAGTTCAGTTCTAGTTCAGTTTTAGTTCAGTTCTAGTTCAGTTCTAGTTCAGTTCTAGTTCAGTTCTAGTTCAGTTCTAGTTCAGTTCTAGTTCAGTTCTAGTTCAGTTCTAGTTCAGTTCTAGTTCGTACTGGAAGACCACTGTTCCCCTTAAATATGTTTTGTTTCAATTCGAACAAAGTGTATATCGTATAGAGGAGTTTGATGTACTTTTTTTACAAACACAAAAGTTATGACGTAGTTTGTTTATGGTAGAAAGCTTTTAAATTCATTCACCTCCCAGACTCTCTCTGTGTCTCCTCTAAATTGTTGATTGTTTCTGTTTCAGTTTACAATAATTTTTTGCACATTTGCCGAACCAACCGACCAGTATTTAGTATATATCCACGTGTTTTAGCTTTGTAAAGCTGTTTCTATTACAACAAGTAAAGTAAAAAAAGCTTTGCGATTCGCCATTAGTGAAGCTTTTATTAAACAAAATTTCTTTCATACACACAGGCTAACAAACGTGTACACTAAACGCTAAGCGTTTAGAAAAATACTGTAGGCGTCGTAATCCACAGTGAAGAATATTTTGTTTTAATTTCTTTTCTATCGTTTTTGAAACAAATTGATGTTACTTATACGTCACACTGTACTCGTACAAGGTTGTAGTTGTTGTCATTGTGGTTGATGTGTTTTTGTCGTCTCATAATTTTTCATTATTTTCTTTTGGTTTTTATTTATTTATTATTCAGCATGATTCACATTTATTTATGTATGTATTTTCAGTTGTTTTTTTTTTTTTAATTATTTGTTTTTTTAAGTGTTTTTTTTTTTAATATTATTGTTTTTATTTGCTTTTTCATGGTCATCATTCATGATTTTTTATTTCATTTTCACTTAATGTCCTTCGTTTGCTTTAAGCTCTCTTTTTCTCTCTATTTATCTTTTTGGAGGTTTTCTCCATGTAAATTTTGTTGTCTATATTCCAAAATTGTTGCTGTTATTGTTGTCTTATATTGATTTAGTTCGTGTCAGATTACGGCGTCAACGAGTTGTGCCACTGACATTGTTTTCTTTGCATTGTTATGTGTGTGTTTATGTTGGTATAGGACTCTGCTCTTCAAAAATACATCTTCTTCTCATGAGAAGTTCAAGTTGCATGTATTTTATCTGCTCATTTTCTTGTGTGACAGTTTTGCGTTAATTATGACAAATATTTTATCACAGAGATGGCGTAAATTATAAGGATGTTTAAAAAAAAATCATTATTAAAATAACTTTTTTAACTTTTAAGGATTAAATATTATATTTTGTGTTAATTTAATAAATTTAGCAAGTTTTATTAACAGTAATTTATTTTTTACAATTACAGATTATTGTATAAGGTAAGTACTTCATTTTCAAATAATATAACCCATGTTTTTATGAATATGTCATTTGGCAATTTTTCATGAAAAGAAAAATTTCTCACGAAAATCGAAATTGATAATTTTCATGAAAAGTATCTATATATATAAAAATGAATGTGTGTTTGTTTGTATGTTTGAACGTTATAGACTACTAAACGGCTGAACCGATTTTATTCAAATTTTCACAGCGTATTCTTGTATGTCTGGAATAGGTAATAGGCTACTTTTTATTTTGAAATTCCAAGTAGGCGAGGAGCCACGCCTATATTAAGAAAATATTAAATCCGTATATTTTAGATAATATAACAGTTAGAGTCCTCAAATTTTGTCGGAGCAACTTTAGTGTCAATATAATTATTTAGGACAAAAATTAGGCGGACTATCATTAGGGGGCGTGGCACCTCCCATATAAATTAAATACAAAAATACGTTTATCTTGGAAACTATTACAGTTATAATCTTCAAATTTTGCACGAAAAACTTTAACATCCATCTAAACATTTCGGGTAATAAATTGGCGGAATACCCATGAGGGGAGCGTCACCTCCCATATTAATTAAAGACAAAAATTCGTTTATCTGGAAAACTAATGGAACTAAATTCTTCAAATTTCGCACGAAGAACTTAAATATTCATCTGAACATTTTGGAGGAAAAAAAAGCGGACTTTCATCTGGGGGGTCTTGAAGCCCCCACATGAATCAAATAGAAAAATTCGTATATCTGAGAAACTATTAGTGCTAGAATCTTCAAATTTTACAGAACTTTGAAATTCATGTGAACATTTAGAGCATAACGGGCGGACTTTCAATGGGTGGCTTGGCACAACATATATGAATTAAATACAAAATTTCGTGCATTTTGGAAACTCTTATATTATTAAAATTTTTTATAGATAGATAGAAATTGGCGATAGATAGAAACTGGCGAACTTGCAATAATTTGCTTGACATCTTTCATATGTAACATATAATAAATCTGGTATTTATTTATACATATTCCTTTTAGGGTGGCAAAGCACACTGGGTGTAGCTAGTTCTTTATATAATTCACTTCTATTTCAGATCTAGTTAAGTTCTAGTTCAGTTCTAGTTCAGTTCTAGTTCAGTTCTAGTTCAGTTCTAGTTCAGTTCTAGTTCAGTTCTAGTTCAGTTCTAGTTCAGTTCTAGTTCAGTTCTAGTTCAGTTCTAGTTCAGTTCTAGTTCAGTTCTAGTTCAGTTCTAGTTCAGTTCTAGTTCAGTTCTAGTTCAGTTCTAGTTCAGTTCTAGTTCAGTTCTAGTTCAGTTCTAGTTCAGTTCTAGTTCAGTTCTAGTTCAGTTCTAGTTCAGTTCTAGTTCAGTTCTAGTTCAGTTCTAGTTCAGTTCTAGTTCAGTTCTAGTTCAGTTCTAGTTCAGTTCTAGTTCAGTTCTAGTTCAGTTCTAGTTCAGTTCTAGTTCAGTTCTAGTTCAGTTCTAGTTCAGTTCTAGTTCAGTTCTAGTTCAGTTCTAGTTCAGTTCTAGTTCAGTTCTAGTTCAGTTCTAGTTCAGTTCTAGTTCAGTTCTAGTTCAGTTCTAGTTCTAGTTCAGTTCTAGTTCAGTAGTTCTAGTTCTAGTTCTAGTTCTAGTTCTAGTTCAGTTCTAGTTCAGTTAGTTCAGTTCTAGTCAGTTCTAGTTCAGTTCTAGTTCAGTTCTAGTTCAGTTTCTAGTTCAGTTCTAGTTCAGTTCTAGTTCAGTTCTAGTTCAGTTCTAGTTAGTTCAGTTCTAGTTCAGTTCTAGTTCAGTTCTAGTTCAGTTCTAGTTCAGTTCTAGTTCAGTTCTAGTTCAGTTCTAGTTCAGTTCTAGTTCAGTTCTAGTTCAGTTCTAGTTCAGTTCTAGTTCAGTTCTAGTTCAGTTCTAGTTCAGTTCTAGTTCAGTTCTAGTTCAGTTCTAGTTCAGTTCTAGTTCAGTTCTAGTTCAGTTCTAGTTCAGTTCTAGTTCAGTTCTAGTTCAGTTCTAGTTCAGTTCTAGTTCAGTTCTAGTCAGTTCTAGTCAGTTCTAGTTCAGTTCTAGTTCAGTTCTAGTTCAGTTATAGTTCAGTTCTAGTTCAGTTCTAGTTCAGTTCTAGTTCAGTTCTAGTCAGTTCTAGTTCAGTTCTAGTTCAGTTCTAGTTCAGTTCTAGTTCAGTTCTAGTTCAGTTCTCGTTCAGTTCTAGTTCAGTTCTAGTTCAGTTCTAGTTCAGTTCTCGTTCAGTTCAGTTCTCATTCAGTTCAGTTCTCATTCAGTTCAGTTCTAGTTCAGTTCTAGTTCAGTTCTCGTTCAGTTCTAGTTCAGTTCTAGTTCAGTTCTAGTTCAGTTCTAGTTCAGTTCTAGTTCAGTTCTAGTTCAGTTCTAGTTCAGTTCTCGTTCAGTTCTAGTTCAGTTCTAGTTCAGTTCTAGTTCAGTTCTAGTTCAGTTCTCGTTCAGTTCTAGTTCAGTTCTAGTTCAGTTCTAGTTCAGTTCTCGTTCAGTTCAGTTCTCATTCAGTTCAGTTCTCATTCAGTTCAGTTCTCATTCAGTTCAGTTCTAGTTCAGTTCTAGTTCAGTTCTCGTTCAGTTCTAGTTCAGTTCTAGTTCAGTTCTAGTTCAGTTCTCGTTCAGTTCAGTTCTCATTCAGTTCAGTTCTAGTTCAGTTCTAGTTCAGTTCTAGTTCAGTTCTAGTTCAGTTCTAGTTCAGTTCTAGTTCAGTTCTAGTTCAGTTCTAGTTCAGTTCTAGTTCAGTTCTAGTTCAGTTCTAGTTCAGTTCTAGTTCAGTTCTAGTTCAGTTCTAGTTCAGTTCTAGTTCAGTTCTAGTTCAGTTCTAGTTCAGTTCTAGTTCAGTTCTAGTTTCAGTTCTAGTTCAGTTCTAGTTCAGTTCTAGTTCAGTTCTAGTTCAGTTCTAGTTCAGTTCTAGTTCAGTTCTAGTTCAGTTCTAGTTCAGTTCTAGTTCAGTTCTAGTTCAGTTCTAGTTCAGTTCTAGTTCAGTTCTAGTTCAGTTCTAGTTCAGTTCTAGTTCAGTTCTAGTTCAGTTCTAGTTCAGTTCTAGTTCAGTTCTAGTTCAGTTCTAGTTCAGTTCTAGTTCAGTTTTAGTTCAGTTCTAGTTCAGTTCTAGTTCAGTTCTAGTTCAGTTCTAGTTCAGTTCTAGTTCAGTTCTAGTTCAGTTCTAGTTCAGTTCTAGTTCAGTTCTAGTTCAGTTCTAGTTCAGTTCTAGTTCAGTTCTCGTTCAGTTCTAGTTCAGTTCTTGTAGCAAATTGGCGATATGGTCAATTTAAATAAATAAGACCGACTCACGTACATACAAATATATTAGGTTATGTGTGTGTATTTTACATTTATTTTAAATTCATTTGCAGTTAAGACTCAAATAAACTTAACTTGCAGTTGGTTTTTCTGATTACAATTTTTTCTAATATTTTCCTTCTTGACTATTTCCCGTACATGACCCAACAACAACAACAGCTAAATTGTTTGGTCATAAATTACATTAAAGTTATGAGGGAGCGAATAGGAGAATAGAAATATTTTACGGTTTAATACCAGAGAAGGCTCATACTGTTGAAGAAGATGATTATTAAGATAATAATGATTAGGCTAAAACAACCAATAGTCACAAACTAAAATTCAACAAAACCCACCGACAACCAAACACAATTCTTTAACAAATAAATAAGTTTTATTTTTTTAATTTGCTAAAATCATGAACGTAAAAATGAGAAGAAGAAAACAAAAATTCAATGAATATCGTGATCTTTGATAATATGGAATTGTTTACGATTTGTGGCCAATTTTTTTTCTTTTAATATTTTTTCGATTGTATTAAGTTGCCTTTAAAGCGAAGAAAACAGGAAATCGAAAAAAATAAAATTAAATTTTATACATTACAAAAATTTTTTACATTTTACATTTTTGTTGTGGAATCAAATCTTGAAGCTAAAAAAAAATAAAAAGTAATTGTTTTTAATCCAGTGACCGCTTTCGTTCATGATGATGAGCATGGCAATTGTTGGTTCATTAATTTACTAGTTAAATTAGATAATTTCTTTTGGAAAATATTTGCTGCCACCAAATAGAGGTCAAATTATTTTTAACATAAAGAAGAAAATCCAGATTTTAATAGAAAAATAGTTAGAAAGATTAATTATAAAATTCCCTAGACCAGTTATCTAGGAAACTTGAACTAGAACTGAACTAGAACTGAACTAGAACTGAACTAGATCTGACCTAGAACTGAACTAGAACTGAACTAGAACTGAACTAGAACTGAACTAGAACTGAACTAGAACTGAACTAGAACTGAACTAGAACTGAACTAGAACTGAACTAGAACTGAACTAGAACTGAACTAGAACTGAACTAGAACTGAACTAGAACTGAACTAGAACTGAACTAGAACTGAACTAGAACTGAACTAGAACTGAACTAGAACTGAACTAGAACTGAACAAAAAATATTTCTACAAAGACAGAAAAACTTACTGTAACATCAGAAATAGCGGGAATAGAAATGATTAGATTTTTCCTTAAAATTAAAAACTACATAGAGAGAATATTTGAATAACAAGAAGTACCGTTAAAAATAAAATAAAGTTTAGTTGTATTTCAAATGAAAGTTTTGATATAATTAATTTTAAAAAAATATACATATTATGTATGTAGGTATTTTGTATATTTATTCCTTGAACAATTTGTCCGTCTCCAACTTAGGTTTCTCTTTAGTCTTTAAACCTGACAATAATTGCTTCAATTTAACTATGGCTTTGGCAGGATTTAAATTTTTCGGGCAAGTATTGGTACAATTTAGTATAGTATGACAACGATATAGTTTATAAGGATCTGTTAAACGTTTCAGACGTTCTTCGGTTGCCTCATCACGCGAATCGATAACCCAACGATAGGCTTGCATTAAAATAGCAGGACCTAAATAACGATCACTATTCCACCAGTATGAAGGGCAGGCTGTTTGACAGCAGGCACACAAAATACATTCATACAAACCATCCAAAACATCACGATCTTTGGGATGCTGCAAATATTGGGCACAACCGGGAATTTCATTCTCCGTATCCTTGCGCTGCAGCCAAGGCTGTATGGAACGATATTGTTCGTAGAATTGTGAAAAATCAGTTACCAAATCTTTGATAACATACATATGCGGTAGGGGATAAATCCTTAAGGGTCTTGAGAGATTTGTATCAGTTTTATGTATACAGGCCAAAGTATTAAGACCACCAATATTCATGGCACAAGAACCACAAATACCTTCACGACAAGATCGCCTAAAAGTTAAAGTCTGATCTATATCGTTTTTGATTTTCAATAATACATCTAAAACCATGGGATTTATGGTGCTTAGGTCTACTTTATAAGTTTGCATTTTAGGTTTATCACCCGGTTTCCAGCGATATATTTGTACAGTTTTAATTTGGGGTTTCTTTTCCTTTGGCGGTGCATCTTTTGTGGCAATTGGCTTTTCCTTTTTTGTTGGTGGTACCGGTTTGGCGGGGGGAGTTTTTTTAGTTGGTTTTCCAGTTTTCGTAGCTGATAAATAACGCGTATACAGGGTTTTGAGTATAGCAGGATATCGGTTTGGTTGTTTTAAATTTAAAAGAAACATTTGGGTTGTTATTTTATTAAAAGTTGTTTTATTATGGAAATAGAATTTAATAATTCAATTTATGTTTGAAAATATTTCATTTGAAGTCGATGTGCAAGAACACAATTGCAACGTTAACGTTACGATTTGAACACTCGAATTTAGTACTATATTTACAGTCAATCTGCTGAATATAGTTTAGCCAGATTATATTATATTATATAGTCTACAATTATAGTCTCGTCAGTCCACCGATAGTCCAAGCGATCTGTGTCAAAGAGCCGATTTCACAGATTTTAATTATTTTCTCATTGTAACGTTATTTAAGTATCTACGACCGATTTTGGGGTTTTCATATAAAAGTTGACTTTTGGTTGGAAATTTCACATTTTTACTAGTTTACCAATTGGAACGTTATTTGAGGACCTACGGACGGATTTTATGTTTTTCATATAAAAATCGACTTTTGATATGAAATTTTAATGATCACAGATTTTTACCATTTTCTCAATTGGAGCGTTATTTGGCGATCTAGGGTTAATTTTTGGTTTTTTTATACAAAACTATAGTTTTGGTGGAAAATAGTCTAGTCAATAGATCGACTTTGCTCCAGTCTATCTGAAATATAGTATAATAAGAATGTATTCTACTCAGCCCACCGACTATAGTCCTTCATCATAACGGCTTTTTTTCTCAATATTTAAACTAAAACCAGAATTTCAAGGATCAATGCCTGACAGAATTCAAGCATATGATCGTTTTTACAACATTCTTTAGTGTTTTCTTTTTTAATTGTCACTCTTGGTTAAAAACAACAAGAACAACTAAAATAACAAGACATTCCAACCAAAACAACCAGCCCCACCAGAACCAAAACATTCAAGTCCATCATCACTCATTTTGCCCGTTACAAAAGATAAAACTTGATTTTACTTCTACACTCTATTCTTGTTTTCTTTAGCGCCCAACTTGAGGACAAGTGACGCGTGTCAATTTCAATACGAATTGTCATCAGGAAAAAAACAAACTGAACAATAACAACATCTTATACCTATTTCTCTAAAGAATTTCTGCTGTAACAAAAACAATATTGGTATTTCACTATATGTTTGTTCTTAATAATAACAGAAACAAAATTAAAACAAGCAAGAAATTATAGTCGGGCGAGGCCGACCATATAATACCCTACACCTGTTACAAATATAAAATGTGATTTAGTTTTCATAATAAAGCATTTAAGTTGAATTGCACCATGCCTTGAATTATACTTAAGCCATTTATTGTTGAATAAAATTGTGGACATTTAAGTCAAATTTTGAAGGGGGATTTGTATAGGGGCTATGGTCAAATGAGACCCTATAATTATAAAATTCATGGGAGTCATCAAGGCTAGTATAGAAATTGGTTTTGCAGCTTTTTGTCGAGATACGATTATATTAAACATAATTATAAACTTAAAATCCCTATTCGTCGGGTTCAGTTGTATGGGGTCTAGGTGAAATAATGGACCGATGTTAACCATTTTCAATAAGCTTCGTCTTCTGCCAAATTTCATTGAATTATCTTCAAAATTGCGACCTGTAGTTTGAATTAAAGGTTTACAAGCCCTATTCGGGGGTTCAGTTGTATGGGGGCTAGATGAGAAAATGGACCGATGTTAACCATTTTCAATAGACTTCGTCTCTGGGACAATAGAAGATCATGTGCCAAATTTCATTGAATTATCTTCAAAATTGCGACCTGTAGTTTGATTAAAAGGTTTACAAGCCCTATTCGGGGGTTCAGTTGTATGGGGGCTAGATGAGAAAATGGACCGATGTTAACCATTTTCAATAGACTTCGTCTCTGGGACAATAGAAGATCATGTGCCAAATTTCATTGAATTATCTTCAAAATTGCGACCTGTAGTTTGTTTAAAAGGTTTACAAGCCCTATTCGGGGGTTCAGTTGTATGGGGGCTAGATGAGAAAATGGACCGATGTTAACCATTTTCAATAGGCTTCGTCTCTGGGATAATAGAAGAACATGTGCCAAATTTCATTCAATTATCTTCATAATTGCGACCTGTAGTTTGATTACAAGGTTTACAAGCCCTATTCGGGGTCTAGGGTGGTGTAGGGTATAATTAAACAAAAAAAACGGAACAAGTTTCAAAATTGCGACCTGTAGTTTGATTACAAGGTTTACATGGACGGACGGACAGACGGACGGACATAGCTAGATCGACTCAGAAAATGATTCTAAGCCGATTGGTATACTTTAAGGTGGGTATAGGACCAATATTATTGTGCGTTACAAACATCAGCACAAATCCAATATACCCTCCCCACTAAAGTGGTGTAGGGTATAATTAAACAAAAAAACGGAACAAGTTTTAAATTTGACATTTGTAGCACTTTATCACATTGCTGGTTGTATCACATACAAACAAACATACATAAAAACGAAAATGTCTCTAGAGAGTCTGTGGATGACGTTGAAACTCACTCCCTGGATATTAGCATGGATACAGATCATCACATCTAAACATTGCGATTTTCAATATTTCTTTCTTTTTCTTTACTTAATACATCATTAACACTGCATATTGTTGTAGTTGTTTGCCAAAAGGCCCTTTATAGTGGTATGATTGTAATGAACAACGATTTGTAATTTACGACATCTTTCAACAAACTGATATTGATGTTTTCCTGTTTGCGTCCAACTGTAATTTTGGAATGTTGTCGCAGAAATTGTTTTTGTTTGATGTGATGTATGCAAACACATTTTATTGTGAGTAGTTAGATTGAAAAGTTATTGGAACTATCATTGAAGTTATTTTGGTCTTTCTTAGATTATTGTGTAAACAAATATCTTTCCATTTGTGACCAAACAACTCCAGCTATAGGAGACACTTTTAAAACAGTTTAGTCCTGTCACCCTCTAAAATATAGTCAATGTATTGATTATAGTCTAGTCAGTCTATAAACAATTTTCTAACCACTTAATTGACAGTAGTTTAGTCTGTCTATAAGCTATAATATAGGCTTTGTTTAACCGATTACAATGTAGTCTATAATTTGGCCAGTTTATCGGCTATATTCTACTCAGTTCTTCGACTATAGCCTAGTCAGTCTGTATATCTATCGACTGTAGATAAACTAAAGACTTCGATTTCAATCGTTATTACACCACTGTTAATATAAACTGAATGTTTTGTTGCCCAAGACAATAATGAGTCTTATAGCTATTTAAAATCCTTTTAAATCTACCCTCTTATACATTTCCAATGTGTGCCAATTAAAGATTTTGATTAATTTCTGTTAAACGTTTTCACTAGTAACGTGTCACTTCGAGTTACATGTCAAATCATCAATGAATTTACACTGACATCGTACGAACACAAAGTACTACCCATAGTTTACTACATACAAATTTAAATTAATTGATTTTGAAGAGTTTTTTTTTGAGAAATTTAAAATATCCAAAAGAAATTAAATGTATGCTAATACAAAGAGCACGCTTTCGTAAATGAATTTCCCAAAAAATTACGGGAAATATGGGTATTATGTTAATGTTTTTTAGCAATTTCCAAAATTAAAGAAAAACAAAAAAACAACACACACACACCTAATTAACTGGGAAAAGAAAAAATATTGTCTTCTTAGACATGACATAAGAATGACAATATAAGAAAAATTATTTTTATAACGCCCTAATTCCAACACAAATTGTACAACTTGTCTTGTGTCTTAGTTTCTTTCTTTTATGTATTTCAGCACCCTTCTTTAGCACCGACACTTAGAGATTAAATACCATTTGGATAGTAAGCATTCTTACACAAATCTATCCAACAACAAGAACAATAATAATCTTCACACAAATTATGTCAACATGTGGAAGAAATAATAATTACACGTGACATCCAAATGTTTGATGGGCAGACAGAAAGACAGGCAAATCCCAAACAGTCAATGAGACAGACAATTTACATTAACGACATTTATGTATATATGAATTTCCCCTTAGTCGGTCTGAATTGTCTGTCTTGATGTCTTTCAAATGTTTTTATTGACAATTCAAATTAACGCCTTTTCTATGCACATGTTTAAAGATGACAATTTTCGTACGTTTTTACACCCTACACCATACAGACTGTATTATAGTCTATGGTTTATTCAAGACTATAAAGTAAAATCAATAGACGAACCAAACTATAGTCGATAGATTGCCCAGACTATAGTTAATAAACTGCCCAGACTATAACCGACAAACTGACTAGATTATAGTCGTTGGACTGATCAGGCTATAGTCAATGGACTGGCAAGACTATAGTCGATAGACGGACTAGACTATAACCAGTGAACTGACTATATAATTGTCGATAGCCTGACTAAACTATAGTTGATAGACTGACTAGACTATAGTCGATAAACTGACAAGACTATAGTCGATAGACTGACAAGACTATAGTCGATAGACTGGCAAGACTATAGTCGATAGACTGACTAGACTATCGTCGGTAGACTAAAAAGACTGTTGTCGATAGGCTGACTGGACTATAGTCAATAGACTGACTATACTATAGTCGATAGACTGACAAGAATATAGTAGATAGACTATAGTCGATAGACTGAATAGACCATAGTCGAGAGACTGGCTAGACTGTAGCTAATAAACTGACTAGATTATTGTCAATGGCCTAACTAAACTATAGGATGATTAGACTTTAGGCCAAATACTGTCCCGTCTATAGAAGACAGACGAACCGGGCTATAGCCAATGGACTGACTAGACTATATTCGATATACTAACTAGACTATAGTCGATAGACTAACTAGACTATAACCGGTAAACTAACTATATTATTAGCAATAGCCTGACTAAACTATAATTGATAGACTGACTAGATTAAAATCGATATACTGACTAGACTATAGTCTATAGAATAATGAGACTATAATCGAAATACTGTCCAGACTATAGTCGATAGACTGACTAGACTATAACTGAAAATTACACTATGTACTGTCTAGTCGGTAGACTGACCAGACTATAGTCGATAGATTGATTAAATT